AAAAAAAATTGAAACTAACCACAAGGCCACGTTCTTTACACACAGCCTTTCTCCTCATTATGTGCTGCCTTCTTCTACAAAACCGTTTTGTATCTAATTTGCTCATAATTGGGGAATCAGGAAGCCAATGTTAGTTCACCAAGTTGACTTCTCATTGGCTCCAGAATTGGGAGGGTCTGAGCCTGCGGATAATGGTGGTCGCTACTGGTATGAGGCTGGGACAGTAGGGCTGGCGGATGCACCCCCTTATGTGCCTTCTCGGGTCCTCTTGAAATGCGCCCCACCAATTTTTCTCTTTTGTAATTTCTTTACCATGTTCCACTTTCCTTAGCCTGTAAATGCATTTGAATATACTCACCCCTAAATACCCAAGCGAGCTTTGTCTAAGCACCCAAACTCTATGTTTCTCTCAAAGTAAGGGAGGCAGTCCCCCACCAAAGCATGCGTTCTGTGCGCAGCCCACTTCCATGTTGGACATGGCTCACTCTGATCAAGAAGATGTGGATGAAGTCATATAGGAACTTCCTTGCTCAGTCTCAGGTGACCCTCCAGAGCTGCTTTTGCTGCTTGGAATATTCCAGCCACCCTGATAAGAGGAATGGGAACTGGTCTCTGACTGGGTGAGTTCTCAGGCCAGGCTCTCCGAATTTCACAGCAGAGTGAACTGACTGAAAAAAGCACAATAAACAGAGAGATCCATCTTTAATTACCAAAATGGAATGGCTATCCCGGCAAAGGTCCATCAGAGCAGTCAACCAGGAACTGATTGCAGTCTATCACTTGCCAAATGCTCACTTGAGACCCAGGATATTTCAAAGTAGGCTATGCACCTTTATTCACTCGTTCCAAATTTATAAAACACATAATATACAGATCCTCACTGAGGCCCTGCAGAACTAAAGAAATAAAGCAAGATCCCTGACCTGGAGTCACTCATTGCATCGCAGGAAGTCAGAACAGGAATAAAAATCATAATATGCTATCACAGATTCAATTCAGAAGTAGCACAAGGAAGGATTTGATTAGCTCTGTCTGGGATGGAGATACAGGTAGGAGTTAGACAAGTCTTTATGTACACAGTAATGCATTAGCAATGTTTCAAAGGCACAGAAGGAAAAAGAAAACTCCACATAGAGCACAGCATTTACAAAGTCATGAACAGAACATGGAAGCAAGAACTGAGAAGCAGGCAGGGTCAAGAAAGGCTTGTGGCTTGTCCCAGGGAATGTGGACGCCAGCATGGGCTAGCAGTCTTAAGTCAGGTAACCGCACACTCAGTCTCTACTCTGGCCCTTACCTGGTGTGACATGGGGTAAGCTACTTAACCTGCCCACGTCTCAGTTTTCCTATCTATGAAATAATGATAATTAAAAATAATAATAATGTGTTCCAATATCAATTCAAGGTTCATAGTTGTGAATAAAATAGATATGGCTCCTGCCCTCAGAGAGCACATAGTTAATACTGAGGATTAGAAAAAATGAAGCTGTGAATATGCCCGTCGTTGTGCTAGCTCAGAGGGAAGTTCACTGACTGTAACCACCATTAGTACTAGAATGAGATTAGCTTTAATGGAGCCGTAGCAATAGGGGCTGAGAAATCCTTTTTGAGCTATAGAGATAATTTAGTAAATTCTAGAAAACTTTAATCACCTCCATTTTCACTGTATTTAGATAATTAACAAAAACTTGTTTAACTTTCTTTCAAATCAATGACTAGTGGACTGCTGCTTCAACTAACTTACTAAAATCTTGTGAAGCCTGTGTGCAGCCAAGGTGAAGTGTCCTAATTAAATGACTCTCTGCTGTTCCATCACTGAAAACCCCTAATCCAGAGAAAGTTGCTAAGGCTCTTAATGACTTCATTTCCTCCTCTATAAAAAAAAGACGGGGAGAAAACCTACGTTATGGTTCTGTAAGAATTTAAAATAAACAACCAGAAACCTGAAAGCAAAAGCAAAGTATGTGATGAGTACAGAGCAGCAACAAAAGTTGTCATTGCATACTTTCAGGGAAAGGAGCTAATATTATGATACTTTAAAGAGCATATGGAGACGAAGAACCACAAAATATTTGTAAATTCTGTATGTATACCCCCGACGGGAATTTGTTGGGTGACCCTTGTATCCCAGAATGGCAGAAAGTAATTTTGATTATAGATTTCTAAAACCAAAATACATGCTCTTATATTTAAATAATATAACCTAGTCCCTCTAAACCCAGAGCTATATAATCTGCAATGATTTCTTAAAAACTATTAGCTGCAAGAAAATACTCCTTCATTTTAAAATTAGCAAATGACAAAGAAAGAAGATTGTCTCATGTCTTATAAGAATAACTACAAAACTGGCATTTAGAATCAAGCCTTGCCTATTTGAAGGCAGGAAGCCAGTAGCCAGGAGTATATTTACAGCAGGAGGCCACAAATATTCTATTCCAGTAAAAGCATGAAATCCATCTTTGTCTGCGAAGCACTTTATATAAGGTTGAAGATGTACTCCTCTGTCCCTAAATCTCACTGTACTAATTTTATTCTCACTTTCTTTTCATGGCCATCAATATCAACCTCCTTAAGTCATCAAAAACACTATTAATACCTGAGCCAGGAACCGTGCTGTGGAGCATACCAAGTGCACTGAGCTTCCAGATTAAACAAGTAATTACACAAATGCCCTTTAGTGTACATTTACCAGCATAAAATCTGCATGAGGGAAAAATAGCCAACGTTATACATTTCTAAACACAAATACACCGCCTGAGTTAAAAAGGAGAGGCTTAATGAAAATAACAGAGCTTTAAAAGAGAGATTTAAAGCCTAAATGTAGCTTAGGGCAAGTTGGGACTTTTCAGCCTCACATAGGACTACACCACCAAACAGTGGACAGGAGCTTCACTGGGGCCCAATGAAATAATACTCTCTCACCAAGAAATATATAAATACATTTTAAGTGGGAAATTTGGCTTCATTTGCAAAAGCATGAAAACCCTAAATATTTTCTGCATTGTGTTTCCCTTATTGTTTTTAGTTTCCCTTTTCTGGTAAGGTTTGGTGGAATCATGGTTGAAAACAGGGAAAATTAGAGAATAAAATGAAATCTTGAAAGACTAATCTTTAACCTTGGGAATTCAGGTGTGTCAAAAATAAAATCAAAATAATAATTAATAATAATAAACCTCCCAGCTCTGTGCAATCCATCATCCACCTTGACACAGTGTGGATAACCTCTTACTAGGAGTGTGAGTAGCTGAGAGTTGAGAGAAGAGACACAGGCCAGAGTTACCAAAAAACTGGAAATGTTGCAGTGAGGCTGGCTCCTAGTGATCACTTAATCTCTCTTCCACCTGAGACCTTCTGCTTCACACCTCCTCTACCAGCACCTTCACCAACTCTAACTCCATCACTGCTGCAAGTGTCACTTCCACCCCACACCTCCAGCACCCCCACCTCCACCTGCAACCCCACCAGCTCCTCCACCACCACCTGGATTGCCTGCAACAATCAGATTTGATTAGCAAGAGGTAACACATAATGCATAAATGCAGAGCATCTCAGTCATAAAATTGTCAATGCTTACATGTTTGTGATCCTCCACACCTTTATAAGTAAATCACAATTCTCAAGATGCTCTTTGCAATGCCACTGGACCCAATGTAGTACCAATTCTACCTCTGCAGTTACAGTGGATATCTACATTCCAGGTTCTAAAGAGAGACTATAACTAGTGACTACAACACGGGTTAAGAAGCTTCTGTTACTAAGTGCTAATGTACCCGGTTTTTTTATACAGTGTAGTGAACATTTGGTGTTTAACACTTGGCCTCAGAAATAGAATAATTTATGCTTATTTACCTAGAGAATGCAGATGCACTAATTCTGAACATATTCTGAACACTTCCCTTTAGGTTTCAAACTCTTCCAAGGTATTTTTCTTGGCTTATTAAATCTGAACATTTCCTATGTTTATTTGCACAGAAGAACTGGGGTACAGGCCTGAGGTATGGGGGGTAAGATGTCCCACCAGAGTCAGAGTGGAGAACAGGACAGGCGGATCTACTGAAACACACTGCTAAGGGGAGCATCAGGTGAGGTGTGGTGCGTCATATGTGGGTCAGCTCCCTGGCCGGGATCGAACTCAGGCCATAGTGGTGGTTGTGCTGAGCCCCAACCCCTAGGCCATCGGGGAGGCCCCTGTTTTCCATGTTTATTAGTTACTGTATTTTCTCCAGAATGATTTGGGCACCTACCAACTTCCAGAAGATCCTTATAAATTCATCACAGAATTAGAGGCAGGGAAGAAGAATTTTCCAGAGAATGGGAGAAAAACAGGGTAGGAAAACCAGAGGATGAAGAGAATAGGCAGAGTGTTAACAGGATGGATCTTCTACTACTCCCCGACCCTGATTCCTTCCTGTCCATCAGTCCGTTCTTCTTCCAAGACCAGCTCCATTCCCTTAGGCCCTGGCCATTTACTCTTAAGGAGGATGTGTGTGGGTGTGTATGTGTATGTGTGTGCACACGTGGAAATGTGCATGTGAAAATGATAGAGACAGAGAAGATATACAGCATTACAGTGTTTTAATGCAGGTTACGTGTATGTGTGTTTATTTTAGGAGTACAGGTAACCACCTCTTTATGTAACGACACCACACCCAACACCAAAGTACCAATAACACCGGACGAGAGTCCACACGGGTCCTCTCTACCCTTTATTCCACCCTCCTTCTGCCTCTGGTAGCCTCAGTTCTGCAGTCAGAATCCAAGGATCTGTTTTAGTTTGGCTTTAGCTGTTCCTTTGCTTTGTTTCTTTACAGTCTACATATGAGCGTAACCATCTGGTATAGGCACTTCTCCTTCTGACTTATTTCCCTTCCCATAATACTCTCTTGACCCATCCATATTGTCACAGATTCACTTTATGGCTGAGTAGTGTTCCACTGTGTGCATCTACCACATCTTTTTTTTCTCCGATCACAAGATAGTATTTTTAGTCAGAAACTTACCTCCCAGTTCCGTGGCCTCTCAGACCTGGTGCTTGCCTCTCTGTCTCCCTCTCTCAGGTGGTGAGGCATCTAAAGGCACAGGGACATGGACATCGGTAAACATTTCTTCCCTTAAAAAGAAAGAAAAAAAGGACTGAAGTTTAATACTGACTCACCAGTATTTTTGCTCATTTTAATCCAATTCTGCAGCCACTAAATACCCAATTGTCCAATTCTTCTCCCAGGATATTACCAAAACAATGTGCTTCCCAACCATTCTTTTTCCTTTTTCTACCCATTCTTAGAGTTCTAAAACCTAAATTCTTTTCTTGAATTAATCAGAAAGAATGTCCCTCACAGATTCTGTATTTTCGTATGAACTGTTCTTACTGAATTAAGTTCTCATCTTCTGTCCTGATTTCCACTGAGGACCTTCCAAGGAAGTAGTTCCTTAAAAATGATATTCTGGGGACACACCGTTATGTGGCAAACTCCATAAGCCTGTGTGGGAATGATGCTTGCCAATCTCACAAGGGCCATCACCTCCAAGGAGAAAGGGACAGGAAGAAGAGGTATGACTTTTTATCTGTAATATACTATTTCTTCATCCAAAGAGTGGTACAAAATATATTTAGGACAATATGAAAAGTATGCAGGAGCAGGAGTATATTTTCTACAGTACTTTTCTATATACTAGGAATGCAAAATGTAAAAGTGAAGAAACCATCACTCAAGACTCTCAGGTATATGGAGGGACCTTATGGAGATCACCTTCCTGGACAGCAGCACTTCTCCAGCTGCCACATGCATGTAGGTTATCTGAGGGTGTTGTTAAAATATGGATTTGACGTGAGTAGGTTTGGGCATGGCCTGAGAACCCACATGTCTAGCAAGCTCGCAGGTGATTTTGGTCCCGGACACACAGCAAGAGTAGTGTGACTTCTCGGTACATGGCAGTGCCACATTTTGACAAGAAACATCTCACGAGGCTCAACTCCAGAAAATGCTGTGCTTATCTCAGTGATTGGCTTTTCATTTGTACGGGCTGTAAATTTTATTTCCCTCTTTGCCTTGGCTACTAGGATGCGCACAGGTATTTTCTATCCTGCTACCTATGTTGGGAATGGCACACATTTTTATTAACTAATTACTCTGGTTTTATTTTCCTACTTATAGTTATAAAACCTAATTCATATAACTAAGTCATAATTAATATAACTGTACATTGTATTCCATTGTTTTATATCTCTTTTGCAAAATCCTTCAAATCCTCTCAGTAACAAGGTTCAGCATACTTAAATTAATTCATAACAAAGATGCCACTGTTTTAAAGGAGCTCACAATCTTGAAAGGAATAGTGTCATATATCAACCTAGATGGGGTACATAGATCTATATAGGACCTATTAGATGGAGTATTAAACTCTGCATGAGAAGACCTAGAATGCCAATATTAATAATTTCACTCTTATCATTTACATTGATATTTAGTCATTGACTAAATATCTAACAGGTGCCCAGGACTGGTATTTTATCTCATTCACTTCTTCTATCATTTGTCACATGTGATCATACCTGGTAAGTTTGTGAGGTTTATCAGTGAACTTTAAGGATTCAGCAAGATCATTCAGCCATTATGTCATGGGAGCTGCAGGTTTAAAATTCACATATGGGTGACACTGATGCTTATTCTCATGGTTAAACAAGATGCCTCCATGGGCTTCAGAGGTGAAAAAAGTTTAATCTGAGACTTAATGGCTAAGAAGGGAAGTTGACAGTTCCAAAGCAGACTAAGGAGGTGCAGAGAGAGAGGAGGAAAAAGTTATTCCAGAAGAAAGGAACAGCACATGCAAACACAGATGTGAAAATGCAGAGTGTGCTTGGGATGGACCCCACATGAGGAAGAAAGACAGATAAATTGGGGGCCAGACTCCAAAGGGACTTGGACACGTTACGGAAGCATTCTGCAGGCAATGGAGAACAATAGGACATCAGGGAAACAGATTAGCGGGAGGGAGAGGATTTAGAAGGGTTGTATATGAAAGATTTTGAGTCATTAAACACTAAGACTTGTTTTCCCTTAAATGTGGTGAATGAGGAAAAGATAGAGGCTGGCGCTTAATCCACCACCCATATTCCCAATTTGATAAACTAATGAGACATAGTAAGGAGAATGTAAGAGATCAGCAGCAATAAGTCAGGAGTCAAGAGATATATAGGTCGGGCCTCCCCGGTGGCACAGCGGTTGAGCGCCGGGTTGCGAAGCTGCCCGCAGCCTCTGCAGCGCCGATTCGATCCCCGGCTGCAACCCGGCCACCGGAGGAGGGTCCCACAGGGCGCGCAGACCTCTCCTGCCGCCCGCTGCTCCCCTCAGCAGTGTACTTCGGTCCCTCAGCCTGCTCTGCTCCCCGCTCTGGCTCTGGTGAATTCTCTCACCCTCCCGCGCTTCTGACTGTACCCAGTGCTTGTATGTATGTATGTATAAATCAATCAATAAATCTTAAAAAAAAAAGAGAGATATATAGGTCATCAAATGTGTTTGTGGTCATGGAAACTACAAGAATGAAAGGCATCCCTCCATGATAAAACAATGATAAAGAATCACAGTACCGCCCGCTGCTCCCCTCAGCAGTGTGCTTCGGTCCTTCTGCCTGCTCTGCTCCCCGCTCTGGCTCTGGTGAATTCTCTCACCCTCCCGCGCTTCTCACTGTGCCCAGTGTATGTATAAACAAACAAACAAATTAATAAATAAATAAAAACATGCCTCTATAAAAAAAAATTTAAAAAAAAAAAAAAAGAATCACAGTAATACCCATGCTAAATAATCTGTAAAGTCGCTGCACCGAATTACATCCACACAAGTAGTGAAGTGCCCGCTTCACCACATCCTCATCAACACTCACTCCTTCCTGGATTTTTAATTTTGGCTAACCTGACAGATGTTAATAATATCATATCATTTCTATACTCTACTTTTCTTGGTTCTAAGTATCTTTTCATCTATTTGGGGGCATTTCTGTTTATTTTGCCTCTTTTGAGAAGTCTGTCCATTTTCCTATTGGTTGCATGTCTTATTTCTCTTGATTTGTAGAAATTCTTTGTATATGTTGTGTGCTAATTCTTTATTATTTCTATACACCACAATTATCTTCTCCCAGCTTAACTTTTCCTATTTCCATAGAACCCTCTGAAATGCCAAAATTTCTCTCTTAATGTAATCAAATATGTCAACTTGTCTTATTGACAATATGTGCCATACTTGTCTTATTTACAATAAGACCAAAATGGTCTTAATCAATGCTCTTCCACCCTGATGTTGTATTTTTTCCCAATACTTTCTTCCAAAAGATTTAAACTTTTGCTTTTCACATTAACATATTTATTTCATCTAGAATTTCATGGGCTTTTTTCCATGTGGCTAAACCGCTCGTCCTGGTGTCATTTTTTGAGTAATAGATCATTTCCTCACAGATCCGTGAAGCAGTCTCTGTTCTACCCCAGGTCTCCTTTCGTGAAGGGGTCTCTGTCTAGGCTCTCCGCCCTGCTCTGTTTGTCCACCCGATTTCAGCAACACTTCACCTTGATCACCAGAGTCTAATGGCACCAATACTTCCTTATTCATAATCTTCAGGAAGTATCTTGGTTATGCTTTGTCCTTGTCTTTTCCATATGAATTTTAGGATTAGCCTATAAGCTTCCCACAAACCCCTGTTGGAATTTTGAATGAAACTGAATCTTCCAATTTCCTTAACAGACATTTTTCATCTTACTCTGTCAACCCAAAACGTAATAGGGCTACTATCCCATCTTAGAGACAAACGTTTGTTTACATATATTGGAAAATTTTAGTAACTTGCACAGTATCATAGGCTCAGAAAAGAACCAAAGTTTCTAAATGGCTGCTTTTGGTTACTTGGTTTCCTCATTTATTTATTTTGAAGATTGTGCATATCCTTTTTTCCATCAATCGCACTCCACAGACCCCGAATGGGGAATCTGTACACAAGACTTGTTCATTGCTTCAGTGATTCTGATCATAAGAACAAGAAGGACATCATGAGTCAAGAGAAAACAAGACTCCAACATTTTTTACCTGAACTTAGTCTTTCCTCCACTTATGCCCTTTCTTCTCTTGAACTCATCAGTCTTTTATTTACATAAAATTAGACTTTTATTACACACAGCAGAGGAAAGGCAGGACTGGTTTCTTTGCTCTCGCCCTGTGTTTTCAGTTAACTTGTGTGGATTTCTGTGATAACAACGGGATTCTTTAAATTGACTCTGTTACTGTTTTTGGAAGATATGCACATAAATATTTAAAGAATTTCTGTTTCAGAAATACTTTAATAGAGCTGAGCCCCAAAAAATGAATATCCAATTAGTAGCAGCACAAAATCACCAAGAAAGTAGAGATTCTCAAAGGACACACGATTTCAAGTATTTTGGCTAGCTGAAGTACCTTCTAATCACAACCTGAATTTTTCAATGTAGATATTACAAAGATTTCTTAGAAACTATGCTCAGATTTTATTTTTTTGTGATTTTAATTTTTATCCAAAATTCATCCCTAGCCAAAAATTATTTTGAAGAAAAAGAATTTGAAATAAATATAGATTAAAGTAGTAAGTTCACAAACCAAGCTATCCATGTGGTAAAATATTTGAAAAATTTAAACCTCGCTACTTAACCCACACAAAAAATTTCAATAGTATATAATATGAAGGCTTGTGGTATTAAAAGGTGTTAATTAGTTTGATTTTCTAAAATTATATTTGTTTACTTTCATCTGTGAATCTGTACTGCTCTTTAAAATTGTATGATCTTTTGTTGAAACAGAAAACAAGTCCTACAAAGTTGTTGTTATTACTGATAGTTAAAATAGTTTATAATTTGAGAGTGGGTAGGAATTATTATGGTGTAAACGTATGTCAACCAGAAAGACAAATGACTACAGTATTACCTGTTCTCCCCACCCCTTCTCCCTCCCCCAGACAAAGCCCTGGATACACTGTGTGGGAACACTTCCAAGAGGCAATATTCACCCCACCAAGCGTCTCCCACAGTACACAGCTACTGGTACCTCAGGACAGACTGAAGAAAGAAAAAGGGAAACAGGAAAAGGGGCAGACAGCTGGATTAGACTGTACTGTGTATATTAGTGATGGGTAGACTTCAAAAGAGTTAGAGGTTCATTTTGGACAGGTGCCCAGAGATTCTCAGGCTTACCCCAAAACTTCCATAACTTCTGATTTTAAGCTACAATTCCTCGGAGACCAGACTCTTGGTCTTCAGTCGTATTTCATACTCATAGTCCTTACAATCAGTGTTTGCTATGAAACTGTAAACTTTCAGAACCCTGAAAAATGAATTATTTTAAATAGATAACTAACAAAAATGGCATGTTTTAAAGTTTTGAAGAAAAACTGGAAACAATGCCTCCCCGCCCCAGGGAGAAACAGAAATGTGCATTTCTATGTTATTTGATTTCAATTTAAAACAATGTTAACAATAAGGCTTGGAACACATTTGGGGGACAGGTGAACTCGTCCTATGTGTCCGACTCATCCACGAAGACTGATAACGGCAGGGCCTTAACTAGCAAGAATCCACATCCACAGCCTCCAGGACTGGGGGTGAGGGGGACAGACAGGAGGTCTGGATACTGGAGACAGAGCCAGGCTGAAAGAGTTGACAAGGAATTTTTCTGGCACTCAATTTGCAGTGACACCTTTTGACGAGTACAGAGACAGTTACCTTTCCAAGAATATGACTGTTCTCTAGACTAATTATCATGTGTCTTAAGAAATGTGTCTCTAAAATGGCTCATGTAAGATTTATTATTAATAATACCGACTATGAACAAGTTATTTTTATAAGAGCTCAAAAATTACTCTTTGCAGGAAATAAAAAATTTCTGAAGATAGTTTTGAGATGCATTAAACTAATTCAGTGTTTGTTAGTGTGGTTCTGAGTAAGACATGGTTTTATTCTTCTCGGAAATAAAAAACAAAACAAAACAGAAGACCCAGCATAGGCACCAAATAAGCAATAATGAAAGAGACGCACAATAGTTTTTGGTGTGGTCAAGAGAATCTCGTTTCTACTGACCTTACACAGTGATCACAGAGGACGGTTTGCCTGAGTTGATTTATGAATACGCAGCTTCCTGTATTCTGCATCCCACAGCAGAACTCCTAATGTCCAGTCTCGAGGACACTGCATCAAGCTCTGGAATAGATGGAAGTAACAAAGACTGTCTAATAGAACTAAACACATTAGCAAGTCGAGCTGCCTTTGAACCTTATGAAAGAAATTTACAATTCATCACATACACAATTTTACTTCTAAAGGCTTGTAAGCAGTAACAGCTCGAAAGCAACCAGCTCTGTTTAAATAGTCCAAAATTCCTCAATCTCTGGAAAGCCAGCATCATAAAACTATCTGATGTCAGTGCAGATTTTTACTTGAAAATGTATAGTTACTGCCAAAAGAGCAGCCGTTTCTTTCTTTTTTTTTTTTTTTTTTTAGGTCTGCATGCTCTCCTCTAATAAAAGTGTAAAAATTAGTAACAGTTGTCCCATGTCAATCGTATGCTGAAAGCAGATCCTCAACAGATATGAAAACTAGACCAAGACCCACAACTCTGGATAGTTCTTTCCTAGGATTTTTCTGCAGCAGACCTCATTTGATATTTCAAGCCATTTCTAACTAAGACAGCACTTGTAATTTGAACTACTTTGTATCACTTTGCCCATACTTTTTAAAGCTTCTCCAATAACACTTCTCTTATTACTTAACCACATTTTTTAATTTTCTAAATAATATAATAAATACCATAAGAAGACCAAAATCACTAGCCTCTATGGAATCTACTAATTACTAATAAGGAACACCAAATGAGGGTCACAAGTAACAGGCAGAAATATATTCCATTGTTTATTAAATTCAGCATACAATTTAAACATTGTCATATCCCAAACATATTCCCAGATCCATTCATATACAAAACAAAATGAGCAATATAGAGCTTTAGGCCCTGTCTTTGTCTTAGCTTAGGACAATATGACTGATTGAGAGTTAACATGCAAGGGGAAAAAAAAGAAAGAAAACTCATCAGTTTTTCTCCAAACCATTACAGAAATTGATACTGGGCCTCTAATTCAGGAACACCTACTATGTTCAGTGTTTACCTTATGAACCCATCATCAGAAAATATAAATTGAATTATTCATGTGCATTAAAATAATAAAGGGAGGCAAACCAGTAAGCCACTCAAACTTTCTACTAGATTATCATCATGTCTTTCTTACACTTTGAAATAAACATTGCTTTTGGTAATAGGTCAGTAATTTCTGTAACATTTATTTATTTTAAAACATATTAATTATTGCATTAAGGCTGTGTTGGTTTACAACACTGTGTATGTGTTAGGTATACAGGCTCACACTTCTATAACTTTTTTAAAAAATTCTGAGTATCGTTAACACATGTCCACTCAAATAAATTAATGTTTACATTCCCCTGACACATTTGGCACAAACAAGCCTGCATGCGCTCTCAAATAGAGAAATGGGAAGGAGTTTGAAAAGGCACTGAATAAATTATAAAGAAACAATTAGAACTCATATTTTTCCTCTAAAAGCCCTCAAAACAAGGAATATGATAGTGTATATTTGCTTTGATTTGCAGGATGAATAATGTACATCTTTGAAATTTTTCCCAAAAAAAGAGACCCACATACTGACCTAACCAGTTGAAAAGTATCAGAAGCCTTACCCCTAAGTCAGTATTTAATTTACTGAACAATTTTCAAAAATCACAGACACAAGGTACTTATGCCTAAACCTCTTTGGAAATTGTGTATTGACAAGCTCGTGATTTCTTGCCTCTATATATTTAAATTAAGACTTCAATACATAAAGCAGTAAACGCATTTATTATTAAAAAGAAATTTCTTTAAAAATTCAAATCTTAACTTATTAAAAAATATAATAAAAGACTTTTTTGTACTTTAGTATGCAAGAATTAGATTGCTTGACCTCTCTTTTAATGACTTAATTAGCTGTACTAAACCCCAGCTGGGCCTCTGCTGACAACATCGCTAGATATTTCAATCAAGCAGTGTTATGGAGAATAAGTAATAAATGCTACCTTGTCGCCATACAGTCCCAAACCATAGTGCATGCTGGTAATGCTAAATTTGATCAGTATGCCTCATATTTCAATTAGTCGTGGTCTGAATCACTAAAACTGTGTAATGTGTATGAATTCCTGATATCAGATACAGAGCCACAGGCTCCCACAGTTAGAAGCCATTGGGTTTGCTTTTATTAGCAGCCAATTAATGGCAAAAATCTGCATCGCTTTTAAAATTTATAACCTCTATTCCAGCTGCATCCACGGCTTCTGCTATACTGTACGCGATCAGATCCATATCACTGTCGCAAGTCAAACAGCTGCAAGCCGTATTCTGTCTGCAGAAGTAAAAAATCCTTTCATACAGAAGCTTTTTTTAACCTCTTAGAAGTTCTTTTCAAAGCCCAGCAGCACCAGTCACTTTGCGACAACGAGCGATTTAATACAGAAAGAAAGAAATCTACACCAAGGTAGCCTCCTGGGATGTGCTAGGTTTTCAAACGGAGTGAAACCCAACCACTGCGGCACCACACAAGGGCAAGCAAAGCCACTTCTCCTGACCAAGGCTAAGAAAATATAAACATATAAAACCTGACCCTCATATGGAGTTAACCCATTGAAGTCTAGGGAGCCATTAAAATTGTGGCATCACACAAGTTTAATATTAAGCAACTTACATCGATCTTGGTATTCAAATCTGTGTGCTGGAACCTTAGATGCTTCCCTAATAAAACATCTGTGGAGATCACATTCCCCCATCAAGAAGCAGTTTATAGCATACCTCGAGATTTCTAGACATTATTTTTAGGACGCAGCGCCTTTCTGACACATGATAAGACAGGAAATTTAGAGGTGATCAGATTTAGTAACAAAGCTTAATTCCTTTGTATTCCTTGTGCTGTACTTTCAAGATTATGAAAGGAATAATTTAAGCTTTACGGTATTTTATATTTCAGGTTACCTTATACATGCAAGCCTGTGAGGTCTGAAATGCTATGATATCTGGCCATTGAGACACTTTTTGGGAAAACTGAGGTACAGTGTTTTTTCCCTTTGTCTTCTATAAAGTACTATAAAATTTTGCATTACTTACTGGATAGTGTAGATGCTTGTCATATTTAAAAATGTTGATATGTTATTAAATTTATATTAACACAGGGTCATGTAGAAAAAAAGGATTTACCTGTGCAAAGAGGAGCGTGAAAAATGACTCGCCGACTGTAATACATGGCAATAAAAATGCAGCACTGGGATAATATAAGCTGCTGCCGTGGCTATTTAAAGACAATAAAATCCTATTTCACAAAATTCAACTACTAATAACCAGCATTCTTTCTAACGGCTTAAATACTGCAGTAAGACTTATAATGCCACTGTGAAATCATAAGCTAGTACTTCAAAGTGTTGTATCTGTTACAAATTTAATCTTCACTGCTTTGTCACAACTGATTTCATCCCAGCGGCTTGGAGATGCACACGGCAGCACTCCTGTTGTTCCAGACAACCTGAACCAAACTGCTAAATACCTGTCTGATGCCCAAGAATGATTATAACAACATTGCCCATGAAACCTCCGACAGCCCACCCCCCGAAAAATGTGCAATTAGTGTGTTACAGTTAATAGAAGAGGGAAAGTGTCCTTCACTGTGTTGACAAATTGTAGGCATTTTAATGACAGAGATGAGTTCTGGGCTGCCCCTCCTGGCTAGCCCAGTGCTGTGTTCGTGGTACTTCAACTGTGATTCTACTGGTGATACTTGATGTCAGGGCATTTCATGATTAGGGAATGTAAGTTCATATAGGTTTCAATCTCAAGTAGGTTTTTTTCCTACCTGCGGAAAGATTATTTCATTAGGTCTCATGGATCTTAGAAAATCATTTAGATAGAGATTTCTATCTAAATACTGGATGCTTTTGTCTTTGAGAGATGAGATTCTATGCTCCTGCTCCCTCCCAGCTACACAGTAACACACGGGGCTCAGCAGAGGCACGGGTGCTGATGGGAGCAGCTAAATGAATGTGTTTATGAAGTTGCCCAGTAAAGCAGGCAAAGGAAGAGGCATTGAGATCTCCATGCATATTAGAGTTTAATTATCAAGCATCACTCCTCAGAGTGATGGAAATTTATAACTCTCAGGGTCAATTTTGGGTATGTCAACTGATACATGGATGTTGCACTATTATACAATGTGTACAAGTATGTCAATACTAAATACCCATTCCCCACAATGACTCTGTGCTATTATTTGACAAAACAGCATTTTATATTCAAAAATCTCTGAATCTCTTTATATTCAAAAATCTCTGAAAATTGGTAATCCATTGCTCCCCTTATGGGGCGTCCTATTTCATTTGTCTGTACAAAATAATACAAAATTTATCTGTACAAAATAATACTTGAAAGTATCTCTCAATGAATATTTAATTACCAAGTGCTACGGTTTAAATTTACCAACCAAGAAAAACAAAAGCATAAGCAATTATATGTATTATACATCTCAAGAAACTACTGAGATGCCTGAAGTTCTTGTCAAAGACCACTCTCCTCTATGGAGCATGTGTTATCATCATGTCTAAGTTAAGCATAAATATGTCTTCAGTGAATTTAACAGCTTAAGTGATGGCACAAGATAGTGTTTTTTAAAAAAAGAACAAGATTTTGTTTATTAATGACTTGTATCAAGTAAAATATAAACAAATCATAGTTAACATAAAGCCATAAAAACCCAAAGCAAGCAAATTAAGCAAGAGCAGAACATGCTGATGAAAATACCCCATCTTTATCAGGAAAGAATTACATTATGTTGAGCAGATTTTTTTATTCTTCTCATTATGCCACGTAAAGTGGTTTCGTTCCAAACTACAATTGGTGTAAGTTCAAATACATCCTTTAACTAGCATGATAGGGACACCATTAAACATATATTAAGTTGCCCATATGCAATTCACACTTGTGACTTTTCTCTGCCATTCATGAATTATGCAATTATACCGAACTCATGGAAATGACAGTGCATTAACTGCCCACTGTCATGTATTGTCTCTTCCGTGTCCTTGTACACACATTCCCCGGTTCATTATTCATGGATGCG